TGGCTTCAAAATTAGCTTCGTCAGAAGTGCTTTTAACACTGTTCCCTGACCTAAGGGGAAAAAAAGAAAAAAATCCCCCTCTAGTGGTAGAAGGTGGAATAGCAGCTTCCCATTAGTTTCTATGGACGGAAAAGAGCAGATACAGATTAAATGGTTTTCAATGCATTCCTATGGGAAATGCAGATTCTACATAAGAACTTTTCCACTTGAGAACCACCTTCCAATACGGATTAAGTTCTTAAGTAGAGACCCCACTGTAGTGTAAGATGCTAAATTATTTTGATAAGTGTGTCAACTGGTAATAAGGTGACTCATTTCCCTCAGTACTGAAAGGAGCATGTAATAAAATGCTTGCCTTTGCATACTTCTCTGGACATGGTCAGCAAGGAGGCCTTCCATTTGTACTTAAGAAAGATGCCCACACATCAAACTACTCTATCCAGAAAATTCCCTTTTCTGTATTCTACATATTGGTTCTGGTTGACTTTCCCTTTTGACACTTCAGAATTTTAACCATTAAACGCTCACTGTACTGAAATCCAAGCTAGGAAAATTCATTCTTTCTTGAAAGCTAGAACAGTTGACTCTGGGAAAATATCATTTAATTGACTGACAAATAAGCTTCTTGCTGGCATGTGGAAATTCTGGGTACTTTTATTGAACAATATACTCAGCCTGAGGCTGAATGTAAAAACGAGCTACCTACTTGCCTCCTTATAAATGTGATTAAATGGGCAAAAGAGTAGAACTTAGCTAGCCAAAGTACTTTGTTAAAGTTCTTATTGATACTGTTTTGAGCATACAGCACATAGCTGAAACGCGTATCCTTGAGTGTATTTTCAATTGTTGGGCAAAAATAATGTTTTAAAAAAAGTTATATCATTTTTAGTTTGGGGGGTAGGAGGTTAGAACAATTTCAATTTCTTTGCTAGTGTTTTGAGAAGGGTTAGTGTATTTCACTTTATTAATTCCCAGAAAACTAAATTCAACACACAGGGTACGCAGAAGTGCTGCGCTGCAAGAGAGAAGACTAATTGCCCTGATAGAGATCTTAAAAATATTAGCTGTTGAAATGCAGCTGTTATGGGGTAGGTATTTGTAATGTGTGAGATCTTCAGGATAAAGAAATAGTATTTATAATGGGCTACTAGAACTTCAATATTTTTCAATGAGGCATCAGAGTTTACTCTGAAGTAAGTCATACTGTGTTCAGCAGGGATTGCTTCCTAATAAGTAGGTTTAGGTTTACAGTTTAAGCCCATTTTGGAATAATGAGATGGTGCAAGTTTTATTCTGGTTTGTGTTGTTTCAGAACTAGGCTTTGAAAACATGCACATTGCTACTTATAAAATTGCATTGCTCACCTTCATGATACACATGTCTGGGCTGACTTAAATAAATGCCTCACAAAAGGAGTCTGTAAGATGCTTGCATTTTGTCAGCAATACTTCTGGCTATTTCTCTGTAAAGAGCCGTCCCCTTCTTGGGGCCTCTCTCTCGCTCTCTTTCCTCCCTTTTTCCTTAAACAGTTGGCAAAGTTAGTGTTTTTGGGAGAATGGGTGTGAATTTCCCATTGCTCTGTTCCAATAAACAGAGTGGCAGCATCAAGAGCTCTACAACGCAAGAATCATTTAAGGACAGGGCATGATAACCACCACTTAAAACTTTTTTCCCCAATATATGGGTTCAAAACATTGCTTTCAGTAAACATAAGATGCAAATCTGCTGCAGTTTGGTTCTAACTTTCAGGATGTGTGTGGTTTTGGTATGTCATCTGTCTGAGCACATGATGCTTGGGTAAGCACTGGAGCCTGCATTATGATTCACTGGGGAGAATGATGGAAAACAATGTCTGTTTAAACACAGAGAAAATCATCGCTTTAAGCAGTGTGAGAGAGGGCTTTGGAGATGGGGGAAGACCCTTTTTCACACACAAATTAAGCACTTTTGTATGATCTGTTCACATACACGGAAGCATAATACTCAGATTAATGATATTTATATTAGTATAATATATTAAAAGCCAATGTGGTATAGTGCTGAGCTTATAACTGAGAGATCTACATTCTAGTTCCCACTAAGCCATGAACCTTGCTGAGTGATCTTGGTCTGTTCTGCCTCCTTCCCTACCTCTCTGCCCAACTGACCTATCTCACAGGCCTGTTGTGAGGATGATGGAGAGAGAAGAGGGTTGAGCAGGAAGACAGCTCCTTGGAGGAAAGGCAGATGATAAAGTGACTGTCCAATAATGCTTTAGAAACATTATAGGCAGTCTGTGTGCTTGTTGAAGAACCCAGAGGGTCAATAAACTGGTATCTCGAGTTAAGAGACCCTAAATGGGAGGTACATTCATTAGGTAGGCGTCACCTTGATTGCATCCAAAAGGTAGTCACAATTAACTGTTTTTTTTTTAAAGTTAGACACAATGATTCCTGGTCTAAATGTTCAGCTGTATAAAAGAAACCTTTGTCTAATTCAGCCAAACTGCCTAATATGTTAATCCCAGGTTATCTAGAGGTATGCTAACGCAAACAAGCAATGAATTAAGTTGTCTATGAAAATATGAAAATAGTAATTAAATGCGCTTTAATGTTGATTGAAATGCTTAAGTGTCTTAAGTATTATTTAAGACAGAGAGGTGAAATAAAGAGAAATGTCCACCCAAAGTAGAAGACTGCTTCAGATGGAGTTTCTCCAGAACAGTGCTGTTGCCTGCCACAGCAGCTGGCCTCACATAGCAGTGAAATACTTATCTCTGTATGGTCAGAGCTACAGATCCTTGTACAGACAGATGTTTACATTATCCAGTGGGATGAATTCTGCTGATTATAAAGTCAGATACACATTTTAGTATGGAAGACAACATGGGGGATGTAATAGTTTCCGTTTCCTAAACAGTGTGTCTTAAGCAACACATTTGCTATTACCTCTGTGACCACTCTCTTGCCATGTGCTACACATATAGAGAGGAGAAAAAGACGTAGAGGATTTAGACATACTTGTAACTGGGAGCAGCTGTAGAGGTCGTGGAAAGAGTACTTGTCGTGTAGGCCTGTATTACCTTTAACTCTCAGAACTGAATGTGGCCCACCAGATCATCTTGGGGAGCCCATCGCAGACCTATCAAATTTTATTGGTGGTTGGGGTTTGGAAAAACTGCAGGTTTGCAACAGAAGGAAACATACCTAACATTTCAAAGGTACAGAACAACATTATCACCATCATCACCATCATCAACAACAACAACAACAACCTTTGAACAGGAAAGCTGGAAGGGACCCTGTGGAGCATCGAATCTAGCCCCTCTTAAAGAGGCATAATGGTGGAATTGAACTCCCAGCCAAAGCCACTGATCCATCCAAGTTCTATGTTACAATTGGTCTGATGCATCATACATAATTCCCACATGCATTACAGGTGGGGATGGGGAAGTCCCTATCTGAGAGTGCCCCTTGAGTGTAGTTAATGAAGCAAGTACTGTATAGACAGAATTTATCAGTCCACAGTGTGGTTTGAAATTGTACTATAAAGGCAAAAGGGTACTATGTGGTTCATTTTTTATCTGCTAATGGAATGCCTTTGTTGGCTAAATTGGCTTCAAGCCTTCCAGAGTATGCCAATAATTCTGCTTCATAAATTTCTCTAACATCTTCAGCAGCCATGATATTTAATTGGTTTAATAGCCTAGCTATCCTGCTGTGTTCTAAGCAAGATCAAAGTGACCATAGTTTTTGCTTACTTAAACAATGCACAGAATTATGTGAAAAACAGTGATAAGGGCTTCCCCCATGTTAAAAATTCAAAGACATGAAATCACCTTCTCAATTTGAGCCTATATTATTTACACACTTGAAAAGAATATGTTTGATTTGTGTTCACTGTCCCCCATTTTGTGGAACTTTGTTATTTGGAATCTGGTGTTTCTTCATTAGAGAAGCAGGCATGTTGTGGACATCTTGTTAAAAAGTCACAGTCCTGTTGATGTTCCCCTAGAGTGCACAACCTTGGGGTAAGGCTGTATTTTACTTGTAGGGTCAGTCTTTCACCCACACCCACACACCCACACACACCCCACACACACCATTTATGCAGAGAATGCACAAGTACCATGACAGATATCAGATGACAAAAACCTTTAAATGTAAAAGTTGATGTAGAAATTGTTTCCTGAAAATTGGAAATATTATGTTGTTTAATTCAGTTGGATTCTAGTAGTTATTCCAGTAAGTTATTCTTGCAGTTACATCAGTTGATGCATAGGCTAACAATACAATCTTGCATATATCTATTCTGAATAAGTCCCACTGAATTCAGTGAGACTTACTCCCATGCATATAAGATGCAATCTGATTTCTGCTGTATTCTTTATTTTAAAAATCTCTCTGTGTAACATTCACTCTATGATAAGAAGATTTACAAATGGCTTCAGTGTTTCTGGCAGAGCTTTGGATCTAATAAGGATGTAATTTAGTGATGATGAAGAGTGGGCCATTTTAAAGGCTTACTGATGGAGAGATAAATTAAATATTATTTAAAACTAATTGCTAATTATTGTTTGGTTTAGTTTGTTATAAGTCAACAAATTAGAAAAGTTATTTTGATGCAGCTAGTGTTTATTTGAAGAAATTGTGTTCACAACGATCATGTGCCAAATGCACCAATATTTTATAAACAATTTTTTTTTCAATTACAACACATAATTAGTGTATCTGCAAAAAAGCTATACAGTATTTTGTTCAGGTTAAGCAGACCTGCTTAAATAAATTAACTCCCAAATGACTTTATAACACTGGAGAAATAAGCACAGCATGCCCTCACATTGATACAACTGAGTTATATTCAGGTTTGGTAGTTTCAGTATTCCATAGTACTCTACTACGGGCTACTCAGACCTGTCATTTGTCTGTAGGCCTTTTCTCATAGAGCATTTTACAGGAAACAGCGTTCCCAGCATGTTAACACATACAATGGAAGTAACAGTCTGTTTGTTTTACTCTTAGAATGAAGACTGCCAATGGGGATTATCGAAAAGAGCACAAAGAAAGAAGTCGCAGTCCAATCGACCGGGCTGTAGCACCAACAATGAGTCTTCATGCTAATCATATATACGCCTCAATCCCAAGCTTAACCATGGATCAACCTCTAGCACTGACCAAAAACAGCATGGATGCTACCCGGTCTGTAAGCATCACTCCTACAATGACGTCAGTGGAACGGCAGCAGGTACATGACTTCTTGGTTGACAAAATGCACACCTTTCTTGAATATATTGAATGTTCAGTTTTTCTACAGCTTAGTTCGATTTGCTTATGTAAGAAGCCTTTCTTGGGTCCTTCTTCATTTATAATTTCTTTGCAAATGGTTTCAAAATTCAGGTTACAGTTTTCATCAGTTATAATATGGTGTCCAGTGAAAAGGATCCTACAAGTAAAGAGACTAGGCTTTTTTCCAACAAGTATGCGGGGCACCACTGTATTCAGGATGGTTTCCTCTGAAAGGAAAGGTGTTCTGTTCCAGTGGCTCCCAACCTTGGGTCCTCAGATTTGGCTTAACTGCAACTCCCAGGCTTCACCACTAGCTGTCCTGGCAATGGCTTCTGGGACCCAAGGTTGGAAAAATTGGTTGTGTATTGTATACTTCACACTGCAAGTTATATGATTGAAAGATTGCAATATCTGGTTGCCTTACACATTTTTGGTCTGTTTGTCTTCAGCCCCTTCTCACCTCCTTTTTCAGGGTGGGCAGCTAGGGAAGCAAGGAGGGGCAAACCATGCTTGTGGATTTGGGCATTTCAATGAACCATGTATTAGACAAGTCAGTCTTTGCAGGCCAACACAGTGTCAGCAGGTAGCCATAATGTGAGCTTTGGAAAAACTCCATGTCTACTGGCGTTTATTGATACTAATGCTTCCCATACTTAGAAGGAGCCTTATGGTTAAACTGCTGTAGTGCAGCCACAACTGTGCTCATGACCCGAGGCTCAGTCCCAGGTGGCCGGCTCAAGGTTGACTCAGCCTTCCATCCTCCCGAGGTCGGTAAAATGAGCTTGCTGGGGGTGGGGAGCAATGTGTAGCCTGCATAAACCACCCAGAGATGGGGAGGGAAAGTACATAAACCGCCTAGAGTGGTCCTAACAACTAGATAGGCGGGATATAGATAGATAGATGATAGATAGATAGATAGATAGATAGATAGATAGATAGATAGATAGATAGATAGATAGATAGATAGATAGTAGATAGATAGATAGATAGATAGATAGATAGATAGATAGATAGATAGATAGATAGATAGATAGATAGATAGATAGATAGATAGATAGATAGATAGATAGATAGATAAATAAATAAATAAATAAATAGCTAGCACGCTTGGATTTTTGCAGAGGAGGAGGCAGAAGATCCAGTACAACTTGCTTCTCTTTAATCTGAAAATATATCCCATGACAGAATGCAGAAATGTTTTGGTCCTCAGTCAATGGTGTGCGAATGTGTATGTGTGTGTAACACTGTCACATTTGATCTTTGTGTTGACTGGAAAATTATCTTTTACTATCCCTGGAAGCTAGTACAAATTCTTCTTCCAGGTTTTCCTTGTTTTAGCATCATATGAGCAGGATAGATGGTGCTTACTCCAGAACTCTTTTTGGACAGGCCTGGATGGCTGTTAATGCTCATTTATTTTTGCTTCCTTTAAGAAAATGTGTACAAAAGTAGAATTTACGCTTCTTCTATCCTTTCTTTAGGCTGATTACAGCCTAAAATAATTTTGTGGCCTGAAACTACTTCTCTTGCACTGTTCTACTAGTTTTTAAAGAAAAAGAGAGAGAGAAAGTATGTGTGTGTTTGCTTTATGTATTGGTGTAGTATATATTGCAACCCAAGTATAACAGTGACATGTGTCAAGTTGCTCCTTGTGACATATTATACCAATTGTTATAGGAACATATTTTTCTCCCACGCACTTCTCTTGGAAATAAGGGGCATTTTGAATGGGGTTCTCATGTAGCATTTTGCTAGTGTTTCTTTTGTTGTTTTATTCTGTGCACATTTTATGCTTTTGCAGTAATCCTTATGCCCCATACACATATCTAGCAGTAGGTGATTACGTTGTAAAATCTATTTTCTAAAAGCTAACGTGGCTAAGTCGTGCTGGAAAAAGGAACTGCAGGGGCATGGGAAATGCAGGTGTAGAAAGCACCCACATCATACTTCTAGCCACTACAATAGGGATTGGACCTTGCTAATGGCCTCTGAATTGGGCACTTTTGTCTTGTACGAAAAAAGGAGCCACGTGTGGCCTCACTACAACAATGGAGGGGAGGTTTGGTGCACTTCTCCTTTGAATTGCACAGGTCTGAACAGCACAGTTTAGGTTTTATACATATCTTTTTAAATAGACAAATATTCCAATAAATAAATATTATATAAATACTATGCCTCTGGCCACCAAGAACCCCATGAGTTCAACGCTGAAGGTGGCAAAGTGGTCTACTTATCCCCAAACACCTCTAATTCAGCCTCTAGATCAGGGGTTGGTAAGGACCTTTAAGGCTCACTAAGCACAGGACTGTATAGAAAGGATTGTCAACGCTATGGAAGAGAATCCCAACAGAAAGAACTGTTCTCTCTCTCTCTCTCTCTCTCTCTCTTTCTGTATGATCATTCAACTGTTTATGCTCTGGAGTTACATTTGGTGGGGAATAAGATTTATACATGGATTTTGAACTACACGGGGATCCAGCACCTCTAACCCCAGTGTTGTTGAAGGGAGAAGTTTAGTACTGATTGCTACAATGAGTTCTTAATATGTGCTTTTTTAAAAGAACATGTTTATTATTTATTTATTTTATACAAAGGCATGATCATATTACAGTCAAATTACTCATCAAAGCCAAAGCTAGTATAGAAGAATAAAACTGGCAACACAGAAATGATTAGCATCATATATATATAGGTAACTATTATTGTAATGTCTACTTTGAAACATAGTACAACCGTGGTGTAAAGTTTTTTTTTAAAAAACTGCCCATAATCACCAAAATACAGCTCAGTGAAAACAGCTCCTGAGGTACTCTTAGAAAGGCAGAGCTGGCTGCCAAGCTGAGGAACAATAGCAGGACTTTATCAAAGAGCCTTAATGTCGTAAGTGGAGGCCTCTCCCTTCCTGGTCTGTCAACACCGAACCAACTATGGCAAAGAGGTGGTGTAGGCAGAAAAGCAGCACTTGCAGAATGTTCTGTTGCTCTGAACATAAATAAGCTTACAAAGAAGAATCTTCAGGGGACTAACAGCCTTTCTGATTTATGGCAGTTCTTTTCCGAGTTTTTCAGATAGACAGAATTTAGAAGTAGTTTCCTATTGCTTCTGGCATGGATTGAGCAGCTCACCCAAGGCCACATAGGCTGGCTCTACTCTCAGAAGGCGCAGGACGGAATCAAATTCCCAACCTCTGGCTCTGCAGTCAGATTCTTAAACCACTGAGCAATTTGGCCAGCTACTTTGTATACTGGTGTGGTTTTTAGGCTAAAGCGCAAGGAATAAAAATCAGAGCCCTGTTTCTGCCAAGTCTCATAACTAAGAGCAGGCTTTTGAACTACTCTTGAGAGGCATGATATGCCATGATATGCCACTTGATAGATTTGAACCTGAACTTGGGTTCAAGCCTCAGAAAATGACAAATTTTGGCCGTGTAAGTTAACCTAAAACTGGTTTCCAGAATCCCTCTCTTGTGTTGTCCCTGACCTCCTTCTCGTTATTTTGCTTGAAAGCAGATGTTTGGAATCACCAAGAAAGCACTATTTTCAGTGAAGAGAAGTCTTTATGAGAAAATTGTATATTGAAGGAAAATCAGGTCTGCTGCCATTGGCAACATGACAAGAAATGGTACGTGGAAGGAAGTGAGGCAAAGCAGAGGGCAATAGGTGAGGAAGCAACAGTGGAGACAAGAAAAGGGAATATTGCAGGAAACACTTAACTAGGTGTCTTTGGCCTTGAAGGAATGTACTTGCTTGTCCAAGCAGGGCTCCCCATTCCTCTCCTTCCAGCTCCCCTTCTCAGTGGCATGCTCAGGTTCTCAAGAGTCATTTTCCCTCGCAAGGCTTTCTTTGAGGAACAGCTCAGTGAGAGTATCTATGACCACTGCCTTGTTGGACAGTTGTTGTTGTTTAGTCGTTAGGTCGTGTCTGACTCTTCGTGACTCCGATGGGCCAGAGGACGCCAGGCCCTCCTGTCTTCCACTGCCTCCCGGAATTGGGTCAGATTCATGTTGGTAGCTTCAATGGCACTGTCCAACCGTCTCGTCCTCTGTTGTCCCTTTCTTCTCTTGATTTCCTTCAGAATGGATAGGTTTGTTCTCCTTGCAGTCTAGGGGACTCTCAAGAGCCTCCAGCAGCACAATTCAAAAGCATCAGTACTTCAGCAGTCAGCCGTCTTTATGGTGCAGTTCTCACTTCCATGCTTCACTACTGGAAAAAAACCATAGCTATGACTATGTGGACCTTTGTCGGCACGGTGATGTCTCTGCTTTTGAAGATGCTGTCTAGGTTTGTCATCTTTTTCTTTTAGATGGTTTTCATTGCTGCCTCCTGTACAATGTTACGAGCCTCCATCCGTAGTTCTTCTGGCATTCTATTCCTCTATTTCTTTGCATTGTTCATGTAAGAAGACCCTCTTGTCTCTCCTTGCTATTCTTTGGAAGTCTGCATTCAATTTTCTGTAACTTTCCCTATCTCCCTTGCATTTTGCTTCCCTTCTCCTCTCTGCTATTTCTAAAGCCTCGTTGGACAGCCACTTTGCTTTCTTGCATTTCCTTTTCTTTGGGATGGTTTTTGTTGCTGCCTCCTGTACAATGTTATGAGCCTCCACCCATAGTTCTTCCGGCATTCTGTCCACCAAATCTAGTTCCTTAAATCTGTTCTTTACTTCCACTGTGTATTCATAAGGGATTTGGTTTAGATTATACCCAACTAGCCCTGTGGTTTTTCCTACTCTCTTCAATTTAAGCTTGAATTTTGCT